ATATATATATATATATATATATATATATATATTTATTTATGCATACAGAGCTGGGGTAAGGCCAGAGGTGCGGGGGATGAGAGGATTCACCACAGAGTGGGGAGCAGAACAAGATACACTGAAATACACTGCTGAAGGGAGCAGCTGACAAGACAGGAGAGGTCTGCTGCACCATGTGGGTCAGCTCCCACGCTGGGGATCACACTCATGTTGCACTGGCTGCAGATAGCTTCATAGTGCTGCGCTTTAACCCCCTGCACCACCAGGGAGGGCCCCTTCCCACATTCTAGGCTCAACAAGAATGCCATGCCCTGCTCCTAGAGCCCTGGGAGAGGCAATATCTCTGACACCTTGACTTGGGATTCATTTTCTCCATTGAAATAGTGGCTTGCATGAAGACTTGCTTTTAATGCACAACTGCATTTAATTGAATTTGGATAACAGAATAATAATTCGATGCTAATATAATGAGCACTTTCTTAAACAACAGTCATTGGTTAATAAGTTAACTGTGCTGTCACATTCCATCCTTATAAACGCCCCTTGAGGTAGGAACTAATATTAACCATATTTTACAGACAAGGAACCTGAGGGCCTCCCTCATGGCCTAGGGGTTAAGTCGCAGTGCTCTCACTTCTGTGACCTGACTTTGATCCCCGGCCAGGAAGCTAATCCGTGTGGTGCAGCAGACCTCTCCAGCCTTGCCCACTGCTACCCTCAGCAGTGTATTTAAGTAAATTGGCCTATTCTTCTCCCCACTCTGTCTGGTCCTCTCACCACCACCACCCCCCACCTCTGGTTTATTCTATGCAAAAATTAAAAAAAAAGAGAGAGAGAGAGAGAGAGAGAGAGAGAGAGAAGAGGAAACTGAGGGTCAAACAGCTGAATAATTTGGCCAAGGTCCCACTGGTAGTAAGTGATGGGGTGGGATCTGTGGGATCTGTGGGATCTGTGGCCTGAGCTGAATGTGGCAGGTGGCCTTCACTACCAGGCTATGCTGCTTCATCCGGGAACCAGCTCTCAAAGAAGTGAGCCAGATGTGCAGAAATCAATCTTTGCCCAGGCCAGGTAGCTCCCTATGGTTTGTACCTATCTGGACAAAGTGAAATTGCTCTTTGTCCTTCAGAAAGAACATTTAAGGTCATCTGAAAGCCACTTTTAAAGTGACTTTGTTTAAAGTCACTTTAAATCTACCCAGGAGGTGGCGGAGGATTCTAATATATGCTGTTTTTAACGGCCGTTACTCTGTTTTATATTTTTAATTGAATGTTTTAAATTTTGTGCTTATACCCTGAAGCTCTTTTATTGTAAAGCATGCAATTTTATAAATCAGATTTTATAAAACCCAATGATTAAAGTCTCTGATTGCGGAGCGGATGGCTAGAGAGCAGAGATTTCAATTTAGAACTTAGGACCAGAATTTATGCAGAAAATTCCATGAGCACAGTAGCTTCCGTTATCCGTTTTATTTGTATCCTGCTGTTTGAACAGCTGGAAAGTTGGTAAAACTGAGGCATCAGCAGAAACACACCTCATTAGCTTTCACATCAGGCATGGGTTGGGTAGAAAGAAAATGTTCACCATGTTACCTTAATATTCAAAGGGTCTGTCGCAACTCATGGACTTTATGACAACTTTGTAGAGGGGTGTGGGGGTCACAGAATGTGTGCTAGCAAAATTCCTCAACCCTTTGCCTTTGACAGGATCTGATTTTGAGGACCTTTTTAGTCTGTAAATTCCCTAGTGAATTCACTATGAAATAGCCTGTCATCTAAATTCAGATTCAAAACCTGAATTAGGCATAAAGCAAAGTCAGTTCTTCTGGGATACTGGATTAATCCACTTTTTTAAAAGGAAAGAAGAGGACTCTCTGGGAACTCAAATTTGGAACCTCAAAAAAAAAAAATCAGAAAAAGATGAAATAATCAAATAAAACATACAGAAGGAAGGTGTATTTTTGGGGCCTCCCTACTGGCTCCTTAATAGTTTTATTATTTGTGATATAAAGAAATTAGATGGCTGTTCCCATCATTTAGCCTTTTCTTTGGGAGTATAGAATGTTGGCAAGCCTTCAGGTCGACTCCAGTCTTCTAAGAGCCCTACCTATTGTTGTTTTTTAGTAGAAGGTGATCAGCACCTGGATTTTTAGTTCATGAGCCCAGGAAACTCTAGAAACACAATGCTGAAGGGAGCAGCGGGTGAGACTAGAAAGGTCTGCTGCACCATGTGAGTCACTGCCCTGGATGGGGATCAAACTCAGGCCATGGTGGTGATAACGCCATGTACTCATAAGACCACACTGGCTGCTGTGCAGCTCCTGAAGTGTAGGTAGGTGCTAATTTGAGTGGGGTGGAGCCAGATTGCATCTAGACATCAATCAGACATCAGTCAAACTAGTGCCAACCTTCCCTATCAGCATGACATCTGCCAACAGCCACACTGATTTCTCCCAACAAGACTCTCAGACACTGTGGCCAGAATTATATTTTTTGTTAGGCTTCCAAAGTAAGGACAATGTGACATGCCAGTTTCATGCTGCTACCTGATATGCCCAAACTGGCAATTTCTGAGAGTGCTCCATTTTCTCGCTCCCAGGAGAAGCAGTGACTTCTGTGGCCACATATGCCGAAGGAAGGATGAGCTAATTTAGAGTAAGAGAAACAGCTCTCAGAGGAGCAGGCAGCTGCAGCACTGAATGTCTGTGCATTATTTATAAGCTCCTCATCTCGATGGTACTTGGCAAAAAGATGAAACCAGCAGGTTTACAGTTATGGGGCTTGCATGTTACTTCAGAACACAGGAAACATCAGCAATGGAACTACCCATAGAATAGTGAGCTGTATCCACAATTCTTTGATCCTTCTCTTTTCAAAAGGTGAGGTAGGACCTCCTTGGTGGCCTAGGGGTTAAGTCTCAGTGCTATCACTGCCAGGGCCTGAGTTCAATCCCCAGCCAGGGAGCTGACCCACATGGCACAGTAGAAATATTCTCCCCTCAGCAGTATGTGTCAGTCAATCCCCCTGTTCTGCTCCCCACTCTGTCTTTGGTGAATCCTCTCACCACCCACCTGTACTCCAGTTCTATGAAAAAAAAAAAAAAAAAGGGTCAAGTAGGCACTTAGAGTGTGAACTATACTTAGTGGACTGACTGTAAATGACTGGAAAGACTAGAATGAAAGGTGCTCTAGAATCCTCTATCTTTTGGCCCACTCGGGAGGACACCAGCTCCCACAGGTGGGACACTCAAGCAGCATAGAGGAGGGGCTGTGTGGGAAGAAACCAGCCCTCTAGTTAACCATCAGCAACAACTGGCCAGTTTTGTGAGCAGGCGCCTCCTTGAACCCCTTGATGTCAAGTAGGTGATGGCCTCCCTAGCTATCCTCTGCCTGTGGTGTTGCCTGTGAAAAGGAAATTAGGAAGGTGTTTGACTTACTTCATGATGACAATGTAGATAAGACACATCAGCACGAGGACTAGCGACTCCCACCTGTACAGAACTGCCCATGATGTGACTGTTGGATGCTACTATTTAGAAGTCAGACAAAATACATGCTTTTGGCTTCAAAGTATGTTTTGGGATTATGTACCAGTGAATGATGTGGCATGAATAATCAAAGTCTGAGGTATCTGATCTATGGGTTTGGTCTTTCCTCAACCAGCTCTGGTCCCACCTTCTAGAACCCTAAATGAAGGCATAACTTACTGAGTTTTACCATCTTTCTTGCTATGAAAGGAACCAAGAGTCTGGTTGCTACGTCCTAAAAAGGGGTGAGGGTTTGAGAGTCTTCTCATATGAAACTCTTGAAGCTTTGCCTCTACCATCACATGTGGACTGGAAAGTCTCGCTCACGTTGTCAATCAAAATCACAGTGATTTATTGGAGGCTTCAGGGTGTGATGATTTGAAAGCAGTCAGGTACCTGCTCTCTCTCCTACTCCTCTTCCCACATCAGCATACCATGTTGAATATGGGAATCAGTTTGAAAAGGAAATTAGGAAGGTGTTTGACTTACTTCATGATGACAATGTAGATAAGATACATGAGCACGAGGACTAGCGACTCCCACCTGTATATAAGCCAAGAATAGTTAGTCAAAAAAAGTCTCCACAGGTGGCTGGACAACACACCAGGCTACCTTAAAAGCACAGCTGATGTGCAGGGCAGATAAACCTGGGTAAGTCAGATGCAGACTGCTTACAAATATTTCCTGATCTATGGTCATTTTCTCTGAGGCATAGAGTTTTTGACTATTTATCTCTTCTTTTTCTACTTAAAAGTGAAATGCTCCTTCTTCTGTTATTTGCTTACCCCAAAGAATTCTTTGAACATGGCAAGTCTTCCAGATCGCTGACTATAGGCCTCTATTTATAAATCTACCAAGCTTAATCAGTCACTAGTACTATTGAGATATATTTACAAAGCACACTAGAAGAATTCATAGGGGGCAAATGAGGGTTGTTGGGTACGTAAGAACTAGTCATTAATAAAGGAGATCAAAGAAAATGAGAAAGAGGAGAGAAAGAATATGGTCAGGGAAGGTGCCCGCAGGAAGTATAGGAATGAATGAGAGGAAAACAGTTATGAGAGAAAGAAAAAAAGACAAAAACCCACTGGAATGTGCTTGAACATCTGATCACTGGAGTATCTGCAGTTTCTTTATTTTAGTAACCTTCACTAAAAACCCAGGGAACTTGACTTTAGATACTTTTTCAGCTGTAGAATAAACTAGCCAGTTGAGGGAGTAATTCTGGCTTCTAGAAAAGGTTACCAGAGAATGGTCTATGAAGAGATTCCTGGTTTTGCCTTATCCTTCCTTTTTTCTTTTTGAGTCCCACGTTTAGCAACCGATTCCAGGAAATAGGTGGCTGACTGCTTCATAGCAGGGGTTTTATCCAAGTAAAGTGTTGGGAAGCAAGATGGTAGTAAGATAGGGGACTGGGTGCTTAAGTTGTGTTAAGTACATAGATGGGCTCGCACAAATTCATGAAGCATGATTGTGCCGTGGGATGTACATTTATTAGAGTGCTACTAAGAGAAGCAAAGGGTAGTCAGGCCCCTTACTTCTGCCACATTTCTCAACATCTCTAACAAACCTTCCCACACATTCCATACCTCCCATTCACTTGGACAAATTTCCCTAGTCTTAACTGAACATCCATGGGCACCCTGAAGCACTCATCATGGACACCCATGTCCCACTCTGCACAGCTTCCTGAGTGGTTCTGTCATCCTGTTTATTGTCTTTGCAGCCTCTGAAAGTTGGCCACCTGCTTCATCACGATCTCTCTATTCTTGACTTCCAGAGCCATACTCCTAGTTTCCTCCCTGTGCCCTTAGCTTTTCCTCCACTTTCCCAGTCCTCAGTTCAAACTCTAAACAGGGCACCCTCTTCCCTACTCACCTAGGCACTGTCCTTAGATGTGACCACCCTGTCCCATTGCTGTACATACCAATAGCACATCCACCCCACACCTTTCCCTGCCCAACCAAATAGCCAACAGTCAGTCTGGCCCCTGCATGTGGTACTTAAAAACATGTCAGGACAGAATTCTTCCTCCCTCCTTCCCAACTTCAGTCTTCCCTGGGCTTTGTCATTTCAGTAAATTCTACCAGTTTCTGCCCAGTGAAGTCCCAAATCTGGAAATCAACATTTTAATTTATATTTATATTCTTTTTTTTCACTCCCACATTCAGCAGGACTTCATGTCCAAAATATGTCCCTCTCCCATGAACCCCCTCACTGAGGCCACAACAGCTTTAATCTCTGGACTGGCCTTCCTTGTTGCTAATAGATCACGCCATTCTTTTGCTTAAAATGCTGCAATTGCTTTCCAACACGCTCGAGAAGACGAAAGGTACTCTCTTCTTGCAAACCTGGTTCTTTCTTCTTCTTGGAAAAGAAAGGAAGTCCAACTCCTTCTAACAGATCATCTTGTGTCTCTTCTGAATTCCACCGCACTGACCTCCATTCCTTCTCCTGAGAGCCTTTGCAAGCTCTGTTTCCTCCACCAGGGACACTTTTCCCCTCCTCTTGGTTGGCTTCTTTTATCCTACAAATTCCAGTCTTAATGTCACTGCCTCCAGAAGTCTTCCTTCACTTTTCATCAGTGTTTGTGTTCTGTCGAACCTCTGATGGGTCTGTGATTAGCTTGCTGTTTGCTCATTGCTAAATGATATCTAACGCCTACTTCTAACAGTCACTTGACACTACTCCTCACAGCGTACCCTCCACCTCAGCTTTTGGGGTTAATGTTTCCTGGAGACTGAGAATGGCCTTTCTGACAGCTGATTCCCCCAAGTAGACATTCATCTATCCAGCTGCCCACCGCTTTCTCCCCAGCTCATCTGGACAGGGTGAGACGTCCTCTGAACTTCAATTTTCAGTTGCAAAACACCCCAATGGCCTGAACATGGTTCTTATCTCATCAAAGCCAATGTTCCTGGGGTGTAAACATAATTAGGAAAATCTGGGATGTACCGACAACATTCCTTTTGGAGGAGACACCAAAGAGCTGAAGGGATACCTTCTTATGGTTTGAAGCACTAATAGTCATAGGGTACAAACAATGAACAATTGGAACGGAAACATTGCAGTCCGGCTGTGTGAGGTCCAACTCCTTCTTGCAAGTACTTTTATACCTTCTAATTTCTTTAGAACTTATTTTTTTTTCCCTCACTAAATCAAATGCTTTCTTTCATGGCAATAGTCGAATAAGGTTTTCTTTGGTTATGTTTCAGGGATGGCTTTAAGATGGGGGTTCCCTGCTTCTGTTGACATTCCAGGTATACTCTGCCGGGCTCAGGGCTCACGGGGGTCTCCAAAGAGAATGCACAGACTCTCGAGACATTGCTCCTTCTTCTGCTTTCTGACCTGAACGTTTGATCATCATGTCTTGCCTCAAAATTCTTCAGGGTCCCTTCTCACATGAGACGGGATATGCATGGGCATCTCCATGTAACCCCATCACAACATGTCAACTGTCTGAGAGAGCAGCAGGTAAGGCTGCTTTTGCTGGTGTGTCCGTGGCTAGTTCTTGAGCAGAGCCTGGCATCCAGGGCAAAAGCTACGGGGTGGGGCTGACCTCTGAAGCCCCGGGCACTGTCCCCATCAGCCTCTCCTGACCACACCCTACACCGCTGTCCCCTGAAGACCACTCTTAGGGCATGATCGGAATGATCTTCCCGTTCCCACAAGCCTCCATTTTGAACCATTTTCTACTGACCCCCTGATTCTCCTGCCAAAGACTGTTCTTTCCCAAGCTGGAGGCGCCTCTCTGTTCTCACCCCTAGGGCATGGCTCCATTCTGCTGAGCACTGTTCAGAGCAGTGGAAGCTGGCCTGGAAAAAGTTGCAGGGGATAATTTCCAGGTTGTGTCTCTGGACTCATTCTTCTCTTCCAAAGTCACAACTTGGGGCCAAGTTGTGAGGTTCCAGTTCTTCCAGTTCTTCTTAAAGGAGAAATGAAAACATCACTCAGGATTCCTTAGTTTTCTGGCTGGACTTTCAGACTCATCAAAGACACATTCCAAATGCCTCTGGCAATCCAGGGTCTCCCTCAGCTGTTGTTATGGAGTCGTGCATACAAATTCATATATTGCAGATGGTGGACATATGGTGCTTCCTTTTTTCCATGTCCTTTGGGGTCAGCACCTAGCTAAAGGCATGCAACAGATATTCCCCTGCCTCGTACCTGATAGCAGAACCCCACTATGTCAAGGCAGCCACGGGGGAATCCCTTGATCTTGAGGAGGTAGTGAAGAGGAAACAGATCCACAGCCCAAGGATCAATATGATTGGTCTAAATATGAAATCCCACCTCTTCATGTCACATATTGGTCAAGACAGGCCCAGCTGTGACCAAAGAGAGACATGTAGAAAGGTGTTGAATGAAGTAACGTAGGCAGCAGCTCTCCTGCCCACCTGTGATATGCAATGCAGGTGTTTCTTTCACCAGCCTTCTCCCTTCGCAAAGCAGCAGAGGTAACACTCCCCTTTGGCTGCTGGGCTGTGACCATGCAGGCCTCTCTCTCAGCAAACCTGACCCTTTCAGGGGCAGCTCTTCCTTCCTGCTTGTGTCTGTGCAAACATTCTAGACTTCCTTTCTCTCCCTTTCAAAATAAACCTGCCCTTTTGGACACACACACACACACATGACCTAACCCTTCTTCCTCTTTCTGGTCTTCAACCCAAACTTAATGGCTGAAACCACAGTAGTCATCTTGGAACCATTAGGGAAAGGCCAAGAGAAATTAAACCTCTTACATCTGGGTACTTGTGACACAAGAAAAAGAAATGACTCTTTCTTTAATCTGCTTCACTGGCTTTCCATTCGCTGCTACCTTCTGCCTACCACTTGGTGGCTGAATGCGACTTACTAGGGAATGTGGCTTCAGGACAGTGAAGCAACCTAAGCTGTGTGTGATGGGGACACCTTGTCCTTGTCCTCGTGTATTTATACTGGACAAGGCTCATTTCCTCCAGAGCGCTCTAATTTCCAAATAAACACAACTGAAACTTTTTTAGCATTTGGGGTGAGTTGGTTTCCTGCCCTGAAACTTTTAGGACCTGCTGGGATGCTCTACAGCCAGCAGTGGAGTTCACTGCCTAAGCTACTACTGAAAGATGACCATCCCTTAGTCACGCATTGAAGGAGCTGGCTCAAAAGAGAGAAATTAGAGAAATCAATCCCTAGACTCTCAGCAAAAGAAATGCTCGTGATTAGCTGAGTAAGAAGGTAAGGGTAGCCGACAGTGAAACATAGCTTCAAGTTCAATATAGTTTGCATTTAAGTGGGCAGTTGGAATCTCTGAAAGCCCCAAAGCAGTTAACGGCCAGTAGCACAGACTTTAATTTCTCAGCCTCATCCAAGGGAAAAATGTTCTCTGTCAGCCCATCCACATAATAACCACAATTATATAACAGGTCAGCAGTCTAGGGCCACGAGAGCCTGCCGTCCTTCTCCTCTGGAGCTATGCCTAGGTGTGACTGAGGTTCCAACCCTCTCGGGCTAGAGCAAAACATCCCCTAGGACATGCAGCTCATCTATCCACAGATTTCATGTTCCTTTACTCTAAATTGCTTTACATGAGCCTTGGTGCTTACTCCGAGGGCCTGATGACCCCTAGTCGATGTTACTCATTCACTAAACCAAACCACTGTGGAGGCTAATTTTCCTAAAATAGGGTTCATCACATTATTACTCTAACCCTTGAGCTGATGCCTAGGGGTTCTACCATAGACTGGGTCACCTACCAGAGAGGAAGCCTGACAGGAAGTAGACTGTTGTGCTCCACATCATCTGAAATAACCTAAAAGGGTTTTGAAGGGTGGGGCTGCAATCGGCTTAATCATGAGCTTCTTTCATCTCCTTTTGCTGTGGTTCTCCTTGGCAAAGCCAGATGAAGACCAGCACTCCCGGCACCCCACTGTGGAGAGCCTTTCCTAAGGGTTTCTGCACAAAAGCAGTAGAAAAACATCCAAGATCAAGTGTGGACATCTTTTGCTTGTCTTGATGGCAGTGTTGTTATCAAAGGGAAGCAACACTGAGTAGCACTTCAGCACCGACTGTGCCAACACGGGGAGGTGGCTGTGTGAACCATACCATGCTCAGGCTGATTCGGAGGCTTCTGCCAGTTTTCTTGGGCAACACTAACACCAGTCCCCCCCCCCCCCCCGCAGTGGCCTGATGGGTGGGTCACATCACCACTGCCTTGTGACCCCTTCTAGGTTCTCACTGACCTCTGAGAGCAATTTGATGTCTTTAACCCATCCATCACCCTGACTCAAAGAAGATTTTCTGTGTTCCATGGATCAGTATAGAGAGGATAGAGGGAATATGTCTTATCGCAAATTCTCCCAGAATTGTGAAGAACATTTAACATTAATGTGACAAGCTCCCTGATGCCATCACATTTTGACATCCACAGAGATAGGATACCAAGTTGTCACCAACAAAGGGCGAACACTCATTTAACTGCAAGTTAAGACTGATGGGCTCTTGCCTTTTTCTAGCTCCTTCTTAATTTAAATAATACCACAAAAGTGTTCTAACTACAGCAGCATACCTCTCTATTACTAAATAGGATGCTATTTCATCCTACTTCTTCAAATATTTGGGATAAAATAATATTTGGGGAAAAAACAAGAATATGCAACACACTCAGTTTTTTTCCATTTCAAACATACTCGTCTTGCTTAGAACCTTTCTCAAAAAATGGTGATTTGGACAGTGGATCCAAATGTAAGATAGCTTCCCTTATAGTTTATTTTGTAAAAATTTTGATAGGTCAAAGAAAAAGAACTGATTTTTCAGAACCTCAGACCTTTAGGGTTAGGCAAATTTTAATGGGTCTCTGAAATGCTTCAACGTCTAGTTCCTAAGATACACATGGGATGTAGCGTCTGGCGATTTGGTTGGGAAGTGATTTGAAAAGAGAAGGCAAATCTTTAACCACCACTGAGCAAGTGGTTGGCTGCAGAAAGGCATGGGTTAGCCAAGATGTAAAACCCAGATGATAAAGACAGTGATATATTAGGATCCCAAATGGAATCCACCACCCCAGTTGAAAGGAAAGTCTTTGCCTATTGGAAGTTAACTGAATTTCTTCCTTGAGCTGGAGGGAAGGTTTCTAAGGCATACTAGTTACAAACTGTCACAAAAATTTCCCTTTTGCTCCTAAACCCTAACTCTGATCTTTTATATATTTGGTTCTGCAATATCATAAGGGGAAAATGGAAGAGAAAAGAGATACTTACCAAGAAACCTTTTCATCATAAATGAACTGTTAAAAAAAGAAAAGGGCAGAAGATTAGACACACACAGGAACACCTGGGGCTGCACCCAGAGCTGCACCCTAGCTGGGATGGTGGGAATCCAGGATGGGACTGGATGTGATAAATACCTTTCTGTGCTGTTTAGTCTCTGACTAGTGCTGGTGGAAAGTGGGGGTGCTGGCAGACTGGGCTGAACATGTGGCAGAGGGAGAAGCATCAGGCCATTCCCCTCCTTCTGGCAACCTCTGTCTACCAGTGGAGTGACAGGGAAGGGCGACCAACCTGCTCTGCTGAGTGAGACTCAAGGCTGAATTCTAGCTCTGGGGATGCAGAGCTTGCTGTGGCTTTTGGACGTGAGTCACTTACAGGCCTCGTGTGTGACCTCTGCATGTCTGAATGCACTATGCACCACCACCAATGTTTTATGTGAGCACTTGAACTTCTAGGGATTCAATATATTTATTTCAATTGACCAATTTTCTTTTTGCTTGTTTTATTTTCTAAAAGGAATTATTTTCAAGGGAAACTTTCAACACAAGCAGAAGTAGAGAATCAGCCCCACTTGCCACCACATGATAGAGGATTGTAGACGGTGAAAAACAAAACCAGTGACAACACTGATTGAGAATCGAGGCTGGACACTCTTGACTGCCGATAACTCGGGCCACATCTGCCTTTTTTGTGAAAGTAAAAAAATGAACCAGTAAAAGACACACAAGTGCGTAGTAGATTTTCCGTCATTGATTAGGATCCAGAGAGAATACTTCAGCTTTTGTTTGTTATCATCTAAAGTCATTATTTCTCATTTTTTTGGGGAGAAAACTGGTATAGTCGTGGCCCTTTGCTTTATTTAGGTAAATGGAGTTGCAGAGAACATGTGTTATTTTCCTGATCAACATGCTGCAAGTTGATTCTAGAACGCAGGTCCCGGCTTTTAATTTCATGTTCTTTCCATGACACACTGATTTGTGCAGATGGCAGGTTATAGAGACAGATGGGGCACCTGTGTCATATTCAAGCAGGAAGCCGAGAGTTCAAATTACTGTTTCCCACTCACAGGACATACGTGCTATGAGAGGCTGTTCCTTCATTTCTGAGAGGCTGTTCCTTCTGAGCAAAGGGCCTTGGGAGAAGCTTGCAGGGCAAGATGGAGCCAAGTGTCATTACCTCTTGGAGAATGTAGACTCAGCTAGACATGGGCATTGCTAGAGTACCCAGGTTCAAATCACCACTGGGGTGAGAGAAACAGAGAAAAACAGAGAAAAGCTCAAAGATGTGCAGGATCCAGCTGGGAAGGCCTCTAGAAGATGCTTCCAGTTATCGTGAGGCCTAAAGAGGAGAAAGGAGCCACCCTTATTTGCAACTAGTTCCGCACAGAACACAGGCGAAGACATCAGCTTCATCAGTGTTGTAACTCTTGTCATATTCAATAAGTTGACATTATGAAAGAAACAAAGGAAATATCCCCTCAATCCAGACTGGACGGCATGCAAGCTACTCCTTATGGTATGTCCAGCTGCTGTGGTCTGATGGCCAGCTTAAAAAATTTCTTTTGTCAGATGTGGTACATATACACAAAGGAATATCACTCTGCAGTCAAAAAAGATAAACTCATGCCTTTTGCAGCAACATGGATGGAGCTGAAAGGGTCATGCTTAGTGAAATAAGTCAGAAAGAGAAAGAAAAATACCGGATGGTTCACTCATGGCAGGAGCAAAAAGGACTGGGGAAATAATAATAATAATAATAATGAACAACTATATACCAGAGACATTTTATGGGGGTGGGGTGGGCAATGGGATCAAAAATGGCGGGGGGGGGGGAGGGAAGTGCACCAGACTATGGTGATGGCACACGGGTGATTTGGTGATGGGAAGCCCATGGAGATTACAACCGAGATGGAACAAGGCACAAAGTGATGTAAAAATTAACTATTATGTTATTTAAAAAATACATAAATAAAAGGCTTTACATTGCAATAAAAATTTCTTTTGTCAAGAAATCACAGCACAGAACAAATTATCTAAGTTTGAAATAATTTTCTATTAATTGAAGTTAATTCAATATCAGTCTTGGGCAGCAGGTTGGAACCATCAATTCACAGCCACTTAGGAGAGCAGGAGAGGCTGGGAGAGTTTATTAGAGCACCAATTACATGTTTGTCTATCAGGGAAGGCAGGCAACACTCTATCGCATGATAGCAGCTTTTAGGGAGTCCTTGTTCTCTGCGGTCTTCCATACAAGTGGGGACACAGGCCAGGATGTGTTTAGCTACTATTTCTTTCTTTTTAAATATTTTTTTATTTTTTTACATCATTCTTCACTTTGTGCATTTTTTCACCTCAGTTGTAATCCCCATGGGCTTAACTACTGTTTCAATTATCCTCTCAATGAAAGAAATCAGAATGAACTTAACAGAACAGAATTTACAGGGTGCACAATAAATCAGAGAAATAGTGGAGCAAACCTGGATGAGATGGATTAAAACAGAGCACCTAGAGCCTGAGGTCAAGATGCTGGCTGCGGCTGGCAGCTGGCAGGTTGGGGATGGGCATATGGTTCAGGAAGGGAAAGAGAAATGAAGCTGCCTCACTCTGAGTACGAACCAGCGGTGTAGATCTGGGACCCCCTGAATAACTGATGTAGTGATTCACGTTACTCAGAGCCAGGTGATCTGGGCTCTTCTGTGCTGCTGAGCAAACAGCTTGAGTTCATCTCACTGTGTAAGGGTAGATAAACGAGAGGACTCAAAAGAATAACAAGAAATCAGGAATTAAGGAAATCGAAAGGCAAACAGACTCATTATGGTGAGTATGAAGGTGAAGGGTGAGAGGGTAGCTGCTTGTGGTTGGTTGGAGTGTTGTAAGCAGCTGATGGTCGCCATTCCGGAGACTGAATGAGGACATTGGTAGTGTCTGCAGAATGTTCCTTGAGAAGAGTACATTACAGGTCATCCTTATGGAGGCCTGGAATTATCTTTTCTGGAAACTGGGTATGACAAGCAGGAGTCACTCCCCCTGGACATTGTGCATGTTTATGGGGAGGATGAATCCTTACGGATTTTATCTTATTCTATTTTCTCATGACAAGTGCTGCACATATTTTTGTATTTTAATGCTCTGTATATGAGTTAAAGAAGATTAAACAACTTCCCACAACTTTTACAGCAATATTACAAGGATAAAAGAAAATTTGCTATCCTCCTATCCTTTATTGACTAATTTGAGATAAGAAACCTCACCCTGTTCCACTTATTACCACTAGGTGGCGCTCATGTCCCAGCACTCCTTCAGATAGCGCTGCTAAAACTGAGGTGGAAAATAAGTCAAACCATTTGTACAACCCCATTAAATCTCTGAATGGAGGGCAAGCCCCTCCAAAGACAGAAAGCCTCTTGAAGGAGCCTTCAGCCAAACACTGTGTCATGGGGCAAGGTGATGCCTTGAAGGCAGCTCCTGCCTGTGGTAGTCTGAGTTGGGGACAGATAGGTGTTCGATCTTGGGTCACACTCAATCCCCATGATGTGGTGCTCTCGAGGGGCTTGCTGTTGCAGTCTTTGGAGCTGATTCACCCATTTTTCTGAAAATACACCTGGGGATAGCAAGTCTTCTCCTGATCTTCTCATTGTGTTTGGGACCATACGCTGCAAGCACCCCAGGCTAAGTTGGTGGCCCTCAGGGCTATTTGGGCTCAAGATTGGCAGGTGAGGGGAACCTGCCCTCTAAGCCACGTGACATTCATCCGAAGCTACCCTGGATCTCACCCTAAGCTTTCCTTGTTGAGTTGCAGCTGAGCTAAATGTGAGCACACAGGAGAGAATTTGACAAAACACCCCTTTCCTCTAGACCTCAGAGAAATGGCCGGGTACCATGGAAACGAGTGTTTCAGCATTAGTGTCTGATCTTGAATTCTTCCACGCCAGAAAGGCTTATTATCAGGCAGGTGAATCCCTGGATGACAGAGCATTCCCAGGAACTGGAAGGGGAGGAGCTCATGAGGGAAGAGCCAGAAGAGGGGTATGTGGGTGGAAGTGGAGAGACTGTCCTCATTCCCTGGAGTTTTACTGTGAACTGTCACCGCAGTGAAGCGACTGCCCCACTTCTGAAGCTAAGATTTTGTGACTTATTTTATCATCATTAGTACAGTTTGGATATTAACTGGTAAAAATTATAGGAGAAAATGAGCACCATAATTTGTTTTCTAGGGACCTAAACTTTGAAAATCTCTCTTCTGTTGCTGGAAATATAAACTGTCCCTGCAGACTTCTCATTTGACAAGTAGAGATCTCAAGACATCTGGTCAGATGGGGTTCTGACCTTCAAGGCCTGGGGGTGCAGGTGGCTGAGCTGAGGCCATGTGATTACAGCTGAGGACAGAAATTGGATGGGACACAATGTACAGATGTAGTTCATATATTAAAGCTTAATAGGAATTTGGACACTACTTTCTCCAGAAGGTTGACTTGATGTGGTGGAGGAACTGAAGATTCCCTAAAGGCAAGACTTAATGGAGAGGGTCACCCCAAATCAATCCATAGGGGCTATGAGGTGAAGACAAAGGGGTAAGAGGATGGATTTGGAATACACAAGCTAACTGCTAAGATGAAAGAACTGTGTTTACTAAGCAGTGCCAAGCCAAATACAGACATATAAGAAAAAGTTTGAAGTAGTTTTCTTCAGAGAAGAGAAGAGGCACCTCTCTGTACCCCCAGTCCAGGTACCTCTTTGCATTTCCATCTGGCTCTCTTGCCTCCCTGTTCCAGAAGCAAGTAAGGATGGTAGGCTAGCTTCCTAGCCTACCTCAGTGTCATTTCAAGCAGGAGGCTTCCTGCTTGAAATATGAATCATACATGATTGTAAATCAGGATTACTGTAATAAAAAGTCATAAAAAAATAAGGCGGTACTTGGTTCTCTCAATGACGGGGATGTAAAAAAGGTGGAATCTTTGACTATAGCTGATTTAAAAAATTCAAAACTTCTTTTACATTCATTCCCTGTGAGGATTCTT